TCAATATTTTTTTCCATTGTTTTTTTTCGCAACGCACTACTGAGGTGAACTGGTTTCAACAGCTGCCGTAAACGAACTGTCTGACAGATCGCGCTCATTTTTGGCATAGTAATTGTCCTTAATTGCTGCCAAACTACATAAACTTAAAATATCGAAAAATATACAGCGCGCGAATTTTAAATGAGAATTTCCGAAAACTTTTCGGTCTTAATGTAAATCAGATCCAAGATTTCCGATGTCTTCTTTTTTCACATATCCATATAGCTCGTTTAATACTGATTCTTTTATTGCTTCAGTATCAAATAGAGATATAAAATCGTCAGAATTTTTAACTGGTCTCTTAATCCATTGCCAAATATAAATAAAAACAGAACTTAGTTTATCTAAGTCTGCGATATCGTGAGTTAGGTATAGCATATTGTTACCTTTATCAAGTAGCATACTATCTACTTCATCAACTATTATGTTGGCAAAGTCATGATGTCCCAAAATATTTTTTCCGTAAAACCTATCCAATAGATAGTCACGTTGGAAATTGGATAGATCACCATATACTATTTGGTTGCACGAGTAAATTTCCTTTCTTTTCTCAATGTCTTCACTGCAGTTGTGAGACACATCAAAACCAAACAAGTTGTATATGTCCTTATTAGTTTCTGAATCGCGTTTGGCCAACACGTAAGAACTTGTTACTATATCCACCATTTCTCCTCGTAGTAGTTTTATAAGTGATATTGCTACAATTATGAGAGTTTTTCCCTCTCCGGTTGATACTTGAGCTAAGGTACTTTGATCGGTGGTTAAAAATGCTAGCACAGTTAATATTTGAGTGGCACGGAGTTTAAATCCTCGCTTTAGCTGTATTGCTCTATTGATTACTAAAAGTGTTACATTCAATTCGTTACAACCTGAATTTTTCTTAACCCAAGTTTTAATATCATTTTCTGTAAAACAATTCACATTTTTTTTGTTGAATATGTAATTTTCATTGTAAATATTTTTATTGGAATCTGTAATTGCTCTTAAGTTCTTAGAAATTTTTTTTGAAGTATTTGCGCTACTTGTAATTATTTTTACCAGATCCGAAAAATTTCTTTCTCTGCTATTATTAATAAACTTCAGTTGCATAAATTGTGACCATTCATTTATGTTGGAGCTTTGAAGGTTTCTTAATCCTTCCTTATCCAGTATCCACTTTTCGTTATGAAAATTTGATAAGATGTTATGAAGTTCTTCAGAAGATAGATTCTGTTTTTTCTTTTCCATAATATTTAGAAATTTTTCTGTTAAATCGGTACCGAAGGAGTTTTCTACAGACAATAGATAATAAGCAGCTATTATGAGCTGGTCGCTTTTTTGCCAATTTGTTAATCGCCGCAATTTCGACAACCAGTATTCTTCTTTAAGAGTATAATGCCAGTCAGATAGTTCTAGTCCTTCTAAAGAAATTTTTTCTGTCGAGATATTACATAACATACGTAACGTGTTTCCGACAAATTTGTAAGATATTTTACTTCCTTGACTCAATTTTAATCCAAATGATAATACTATATATTTGTTTTCTATTTTCGATAGGTACTTCCGCCACTTACGTATTTCTTTTAATGGACTCCTAAAATGGTCTTCAAGTTGTAATAATAACAATTCGTCGATCCAGTTTCGTTGGTTATATGCGGCAGTAATCCAACAAAAAATGTTCAATTCCTTTCTGTCTTCAACAACAGAGTTTAAAATTGAGTTAATCAGGTAGCTGAATTCTTCATATGATATATTTCTTCCTTCAGTGCAGAACCGCTTTAGTATATAATGCAAAATTTTTTGTTGATCGATGTATTGGGACTTGATTTTTTCCAGCCGTGTCTTTAGTTGTTGTTCTTTTTGATCAGAAAAAAATTCCATAATTTTTTCTACTTCGGTTTCTTCAGAATCAACTTTTTTTTCATTTTGTAGAGAAATATTTTGTTTTAGAAAAAGCTTTTTCTTTAAATAATCATCGAAATCTTGTTTTTTATTACAAGACTGAAGGTCTCTTAATATGTTATTGAAAAGAATATTACTATATTCACGTTCTTCAACAAGTTTTAAATAATTTTCGTCGATACTATATTGTATGAATTCATTTGAAATTTGCACTGCATGAATAGCAATTTTAGATGAAGGATTGTGATTGTCTCGGAGAGATAAATCGTACTTTATATCAGAAATGTACAATCTAATATTCACATTAAATAAATGAGCCAATAATTCTCTATAACTTTTAGATAGTGGCCCTTTTCCTCGAATATAGTTATAGTACTCCTTCAGAACATCTTTATCTTTACAACATTTTTCCCAGTCATATTGAAGAGTAAGTTGTTTATTAAAACGTATATACAGAGCATTTAATAATTTATCGTTTTTTATTTTATTTTTTAGTTCTTGTTTTAAAGATACGTCTTTAATGCTTCGATTCCACAAATCTAATACTTTTCTATGCAACGGCTTAGTTAGTTCTCGTTTAAATGCACAAAAAAATGTTTTGAATTTGTGATCCTTCTCTTCTAAAAATTGAGTATATTCATTAAAATATTTTTTTAAACAGTCGAGAAAATCTACTTCAGATTTTCGTTCTTCTAAAATAAATACTTGAATGGAACGTTTAAAACTTTGAATGTTTTCATCACAACTCAGCAAATCTGTTTCACAATAGTTAACGATCTTTTCACGTTGCTCCTTCTTGTCTTCATATAGATATTGACTTAGAGTTCCCAAAATTGAATGAGATATGTCGTTGTTCTTTGTTTTGTCTTTAACAAGATACTTTAATACAGTTTCGGCAGTCAATTCTATTTTAGATTTTACTTTATTATGGGATACTAGTTGCATTGCAATTACTTGAAGAGTGGCAAATCTATACTTGTCAATCAAAAGTAATTCTATTTCTTTCAATTTATTTTGTGTATTAGTCAACTTACTTCCTTTTTTAAGGATTTCACTTTTCCATATTTCAAAATATGATAAGAACTCATTTATTTCGTCGATTTTTATCTCAATGTCTTGTAAATGGAACCAGTTGTCGAAATTTGATTGTGGACATTTAACCTCGTTGAGCAAATCCTGAATAGATTTTCGATCAGTTCGATCAGATCTAATAATGCGTTTTAAGTCCTTCCGCTCTTTATAATTATAATCTTTCTGTTTAATGAACTTCCATTTACACTCAATTTTGGACTCAGTCGTTTGGTTTTTCTGTGCTTCCTGATTTTCTGTCATTGCTTGACGAATTTGTTGGTTGATTTTTTCTATTTCAAGTTGCATACTTTTTATAGAATTTTTATCAGTAGTGTTGTTACAATAAACAGAGTAATTGGCTTCTATATTAGATTGAGAAATATTTTTTTTTCGAACAGCTTGCGCATGATGCTGTCTGTTTCGATTTAATTCATCACTGTTCCTTTCTTCATATTTTGTTTCCTTTTTGTCCATGATATTCGAAGATGTGATTTCAACATATGAATATTTATCATAATTGTCAATTTTGTAAGGACAATGAACTCGTTCTGATGAATTATCTTCATGGTATTTTAACATCAGTTTACTGTTCTGATCTGTTCCGAAAATTTTTGGCCATTTATCACCAATTGAATAGTCAATATAACCCATATCCCAACCATTTTTCCCATGATTACCATATTTTCCTGCTTTTCCATTTTTTCCCGCTGTGCCTTCTTTGGATTGTGTTGTCACAAGAATTTGCTGATTTGTTGCTACATTTCTTACTATAATATCGCCGGGATATCCACCTTGACCGCCTATTCCATTTCTTCCACCTGGACTTCCGGGTTTACCTAATGAGCCTTTGTAAAGTAAAAATGATTGACAATTGTAAAACAAATTTGGTGCCTGATAGGAAAATGTGATCTCATTTCCTTGTTCTGTGATAGTATTTAGAAAAATATCACCATCAGCAATAATTGCATCATGAATATCATTGAAAACATTTTTAGTGTAAGGATCACAGAAAGTCCAATCTCTATACCATCCAATTTTTATTTCTTGTAAATCAGATTTGATACTATTAATAGTTTTTTCTACATTTTTCCAACGTGAATAGCAAAAAAGCTTAGAAACGGGTGGAAACTTTTCACAAAAATCGGAATTTATTATACCTTTTCCATCAACTCCATTTTTCCCATCTCCTCCATCCTG